GGAAGAACTTTGCATGTGCGGTTAAATTGGACATGATGAAAGCTTATGATAGGGTGGAATGGAGCTACCTCGAAGCAATCCTCCTTAAATTTGGCTTTGGCATCAACTTAGTGAGATTGATCATGAAGTGTGTCACTTCGGTTCGTTTCTCGGTACGGGTAAATGGTGAACAACTACCCTACTTCACGCCCACGTGTGGATTAAGGCAAGGTGATCCCATGTCACCCTACCTGTTTTTGATATGTGCAAAAGGTTTTTCTTCACTGCTGAAATGTTATGGGCAGATCGATAGAGGCATTCGAGTCAGTTTCAGATCTCCATGGGTGAATCATCTGCTGTTCGCGAATGATAGCCTTATTTTCATGACAGCTGACAGTCAATGTGCAGGAAGATTAAACTGCATTCTGCAATTGTATGGAGTTGCATCGGGCCAGTGTGTTAACCGGGAGAAGAGCTCAATTTATTTCAGTCCCAACACGCCGGTTGCTACTAGGCAGATTATCAAGACTACGCTCGATGTGCACGTCGAGGCGTTTAGTGAATGTTATCTTGGTCTCCCCACGGCTGTGGGGAAGATTTCTAGTGGCACTTTCGATCACATCGGTGAACGTTCACGAAGCAAGATGCAAGGGTGGTCGGAGAGATTGTTTGCTTGTGCAGGGCGAGAAACTTTGATCAAATCAATTGCCCAGGAAATTCCCACTTTCAGCATGAGTTGTTTTCTTCTGACCAAGAAGGTGTGCAAGAGTTTGACATCCAATATGGCAAGATACTGGTGGAGTAGTTCAATCGATAAGCGTTCTCTGCACTGGATGTCGTGGAAGAAACTTGCAACGCCTAAGTGTAGTGGAGGTATGGGTTTTCGAGACCTACATCTTTTCAACTTGGCCCTTCTCGGCAAGCAGGGATGGCGGCTGTTGACAAGCCCGGATTCGCTGTGTGCTCGAGTTTTAAAGGGAAGGTATTTTCCGGACTCAGATTTCATGCAGGCCTCAGCTCCTAAACGTTCATCGGCAACTTGGAGGGCCATAATATCTGGCCGGGAGGCTTTACTCACAGGACTAATCAAGAGGGTGGGTGACGGATCATCCATTGCGGTCTGGGATGACCGATGGATTCCATCTACCACAACAATGGCGCCTTTGTTCAGGCCTCCAAATACCAATGTTTCTTGGGTAAGCGATCTCATCGATACCGGAAACTGGACATGGCAGCGGCAATTGGTTCGTGATACTTTCATCACACCAGACGCGGAGGCTATACTCAATATCCCACTCCGGTCTGGTGGGGGTGATGATTTCCTTGCCTGGACACATGAAACTTCAGGAAACTACACCGTTAAATCGGCGTACCGTGCTCTTATGATTCGCAACGAGCGTCAAGCTCTCGAAGAAGGGACGGATACCGGATCCTCGATTGATAATCAGCGGCTGTGGAATGGTTTGTGGAAGTTAAATGTGATGCCAAAGGTGAAGGTGTTCTTCTGGCGGGTGCTAAGGGGAATTCTGCCTGATGAGTGTACCCTTAAGCATCGGCACTTGAGGCAAGTAGGACTTTGCAAAATCTGCATGGCGATGGATGAGGATATGGAGCATGCTCTGTTGCTATGTTCACACGCACGCCAATTCTGGGATGAAGCGCAGCAGCTTTTTGACTTTCATATGCCGCGGCTACACCTAGATACTTGGGCGAAAGATGTAATCTGTGATGACAGATTCACGAGTAGAGACCGAGCCATCATAGTTTCAGTTATGTGGTCGGTTTGGCACTCTAGAAAAAAGCTTACGCATGGGGAAGACAAGTTGGATCCTGCTGTTTTAGTTTGCAGAACCAGGGAAACACTATCACTTCTGGAAATCCCTCGACGTCACGCAATCTTGTTGCTTGGACATGGATGGCGCCCCCCGGACATGGAATTTGTAAAAATCAACACCGATGCTGCGATCCGTAGGGAGGACGGCAAGGGTGGCGGGGGCGGAGTTGCTCGCTCAGCAAGTTCCTTTCAAGGTGCTTGGAGCAAACCATACCCGGGTGTGACTGACCCCCTCATCGCGGAGACGATGGCAGTTCATGACGGCGTCATCTTCGCCAAGCTACGGGGTTTTTCGAAAGTCGTGCTCGAGACAGATTGCTTGGAGGTAGTCAACCTTTGGGCCGCTCGGCATGATTCTCGCTCTATTGTGGCACCCATCTTAGTAGAAATTGGAGAGCTAGCTAGCACTTTTACTTCTTTTGTAATTCAGCATGTATCTAGGTCAGCTAACGGTCCAGCTCATATCTGTGCTAAGCATGCTTGCACGATTGATGGAACCGAGAGTTGGCTTGACAACACTCCTAGCTTCCTGATCAGCAGCCTATTGGCTGACTGCTCGGCGAACGCCTTCGTTTAATAAAGCTCCCAAATTTTCCCCCGCAAAAAAAAAAAGAAAAGAAAAACAGTCGTCAGCTGGTGATGACTAGTCGGGGTTTCACCAACACTCCGCTCTTCTCTTCTCTTCTCTTCTTGATGAAGCAGTGTAGGGAGAGCCAATAAACACATCAATCACCATGGCATATACTAACAGATGCTATAACTGAATCAATCAATTATGTCCAAACGACATGTCATGTAGAAGCAACATACACGACTCACTCACTTCCAGTTTCTTTGCAGATCCCTGCTTCAGGTTACAACAAATACTGTTCAATTCCCATGGCCAACATTATTATTGGTTCTCTCGACCACATAGAAGCATATTGTCAATAATACAAGATACACATAACTCTTCTTTGCCAAAGAAATGAAAAACTGGAACCACAACAAAGCATTGCTGATCCAGCTTTTAATTCGTGTTGCAGCATCGCTTCAGCCTTTGGCTCCATAACCATACAGGTCCTGCATTGCATACACGTAGCTAACTCGCAAGCTAGGCCGGCTAGTTTCCCCTCCACCTGCTCACATCAAGATTTAAAACAGATGATATATTGTACTATACATTCAGCTGCTAACTTGATTGTCCAAATCATGCAGCCCACAGACCGAACGGACACTAAGAGTAATATAGCCAATGCAGGAGGGAAATGCATAATTGCCAATCAGTTAGTAGGTAATGCTTTGCTTACCATATTGCTAATAGGTGCAAGTTGATCAAATTAATCTATCACCAAGGCAATAAATATTCCCACTCACTAATTAATTAGCGCCATTGCAAAACAAGGAAAGAACCACGACTTGAAGCACAATTAATAGCAGAGAAAAAAGAATAGTACCAATCTGATTCAGTGGAGAGCATGATCTGATCTCCTTTCCTCAATATGCTGTTTGTGGTCGGTTTGCTTCATGTTCTTTGTTTTCATCTCTTGAACTGGATTCAACTACTATTTCCTCCTCTGTACCATCGAGTTGACTAAACAGATAGATGCAAGATGGAATCAATAGGAGGAACCAACTAAAAACACATAGTGTTCCGAAGGAACAAATTAAGAGTTGCTTTAATTTACCTCCAGATTTCATTAAGTGCTGGGACAGTGCATCTCTCACATTCACGGCGTCCTCATCTGCTACCCACCTCACTTGCTCTATGTAATTATACTCCTGGTCGTCTGGCATGCCTGCACCCTCCTCCATGTCTATCACTATGTTATGCAACACACAGCACGTGCCGATTGTCCAGAACCTCTGAAGTTCATTATTTGGATGCCACCCTTTTCCCTCCAGGCACTTCCATGTGTCTTTCAGCCTTGTTAGAGCCCTCAACGCGACGGCTGTAGCTTCCGAATGTCTCCTGTTGAACTCAAGTTTGGCGTCTAAGACTGGGAGGCCATTTTCCAACTGGTAAGGTGTGAGGAGCCAGGGGCGAATAGGGTATCCTGCATCACCAATGATGTATTCCCCGACTTCTGATCCACCGCTTGACGACACCTTCAACTTGTTACCATTCAGCCAGGTACCCTCCTCGCAGGACTTGAAGAGCCAAGAGTCGTGCAAAATGATCGACTGGTTCATGCTACCTTGCAATGGGTAAAAAAATTCTGTGAACCTCATATCCGGGTCAATGACGACTTGCATTAGCATGCCACTATTCTCCTCACGGTCGTGGTTTCGTGATCCGGATTTGATGGGAGTTGTATGTACAACACTGCCGCAGTTAGGGAGGCCATGGATCTTCTCAAACTTGCACTTGATATTCTCCATCTGAGCTGAGCCTGGCCAGCGCAAGTGGTGCATTCTTCGCCCAACCATGGCCTCAACAAACACCTGAGTTACTAGCAACGCAGTTGACTTTTTGACACCAAGAAAAGATCCTATGGTAACCGGTGGCTCACCAGAGTTTAGCATCCGGAGAGCGATGGCTACTTGATCTTGTAAAGACATCACTCTACCATCAATAAAAGTGTGCTTCCTTGCCATCATATCTTTGGAAATGGGGATCCTCACCAAGCTGCACACGTAGCTAAAAGTGCTTCTTTTCATTTTGTATGCAGACTCAAATCCGTGCGCATCCACCAAAGAAGATGATAAAGTTTCTACATGACGACACAAATGCGAGAAGTGGTCACAAACAATCTCTAATTTGAGAGGAAAGGACAAAAATATTATTCTATATTTACATAACTAGGAGAAACGTATGAGAACAAGCAACTAAACCGACAATACTGAGCAACTTGAGAGAGTGTAACTAAATCAAGGTACTAGCCCTTTCAATTCAGAAAAAGAAAAAAATAGTAGTTTCCATGATATTTTTATAGCTGCTGGCCTAGAACTACTGAACAACCACGTTTACATGTCATCTGAAATGACGTAATCATGTGAAACAAAAAAAACATGGAATAAATTCAGTAATCATGATGTATGGATGAAAAGCAAGAAATAAAATCAAATGAACTTATAAACTGGTGTAGAAGTCAGAGTACCAAAGCAAATTAAGACAAAGTTCATATGTTTGGTTTTCTATACCTTCAAATACGGTACTAATGTTTGAATCCAATTTGAAGTTGTCTTGTCTTGTGTACAACACGTATCATTTCTTTTTGTTATCTCCATGACGTGCATATGCCTTGACATACTCCACATGTCTGAACTTGTCCCACTCAGGACCAGATCGTCCTGCGTTTATTGAAGAGAGCAACCATATCCCGCAGTATAACTGCAAATGCCTTGGTTTTATATCTCGCATGTACTCTGGCAGTTCTTCCATGTCATTATCTTCCAGGAGCAACGTCCTGAGTGCAGGGATGCTCTCAAGCACCTTCAATTTTGGACAATCGGTTATGCTAAGCTTCTGCAAATTGGGGAGATTGGCAATCCTCTCTAGGTCAGGGCTTCCAAAAACTGTAAGCTCAACAACAGAAGGAAAGTTCTCAAGGCAGTTCAGGTGTTGGACATCTTGTATGGATAAGTCTTTCAAAGCCCTTGCATTCAAGGCGAGGCCTCGAGGAACATGCCTTAGTTTGCATTTATTGAGCACAAGATTCTCCAACTGGGGCATGGCTTGTACTTGCCCCTCCCAACCCCACTTCTCCCATTGCACCATTCCTTCTAAGATCAACCTGTTTAATCTTGGAAATGGAGCTTCGGCCGCCTGCAAGAATCCAGTTCCCACATGCTTAATGCATGGAGCACCACGGACCTGAACTAACCGCAGATTGGGGAGGTGACACAACCCATTTGGAAGTTGTGTGCAATAGGCTAGGTCAGCAAAGAATAGAGTGTTCAAGTTGTTGAGGGGCACCGCTGACGTGGACATCATCCAATTGGGGAGTTGCCTACCAAAATACCCGGTGATTTCAAGAATTTCTACACTCGGAGGAGGGCTGAGCTCATCGAACACATTCTCAATTCGTTGCTGCTCTACCTTAGAGACACCTTTTTTCTCTTTGACCAACCCATCATGGCCCAGTACGCTAGTGCACACCAGGAATAGCTTCATAATATTCATTTTCTCCCCAAGCTTAGCACTGGCAGCAAATGAGCCACTAGATACATTCTCCAATTGAACTAGTTCAAGATATTTGAGTTGGGAAAGAGGCCCTAACTCATCCAAACTGCACCAATCGCCATCCATGTGCGCTCGAAACCCACTTAGTCTCCTCATATTTGTCAAACCACTGAATCCTCTAGGCACCATACTTTCTTTCGGGAGAATAAGTAACCTCAGCTGGCGAAGCTTAACAATGCTATGAGGAAGATTCACCAATTTTGCACATCCACGAAGGTCAAGGAATTCTAATAGTTTGATCTTGCCAATGTTCCGTGGAAGCACAGATATATCAGTATTTAATAATGCTAGATACCTCAGGTGCTTGAGTTGATGCAATGATTTAGTCAATGCAGCCACATCTGCAGATTGAATATATAGAGTCCGCAAACTAGAAAAAGTAACCAATGAAGCACCAGGTTTCATCTTGATCTGAACTGTGGAGATTAATGTTCTGACTGATTTTTGCGCCTGTAGAGATTTCCAGCCAAGTTCACCTGATTGTGATTGGTTAGTTTCTATGGACAACCAAAGAAACTTTTGTGAACTAAGTTTAGTAAGAATATCATTATCTCCGTCTTGAGCAATGAGTGCTTCATCTTTAGTCATATACTGAGCAAATGAGCGAACAACATCATGCATGGTGCAAACCCATATATCAGTATATGATTTATCTTGTTCTATAAGATTCCTAGATACCAGCTCCTTGTAGTAATTTCTTCCCAACTCTTCTAAATCACTAGAGTTTCCATGAATAAATCCTCCGCTCATCCACATCGCGACGACTTGATCCAGAGTAAAAGTTCCACTTTTAGGAAGAATAGAGTAGAATAAAAAGCACTGTTTCAGGTAAGGAGGCATATATTCATAGCTTAAGTATACCGCATAGTTGAGCTCTTGGGGCATTTTAGTTATTGACCATTTTGAATCATCCAAAACCTGCTGCCAATCACGACATAAGCTCCCTCTTCCACGCAAGAGTCCTCCCATTACTTTGACGGCAAGTGGTAAACCACCACATTTTTGTATAATTTTCAATCCAATATCCTTTAGCGTATTTATGTGGTCTTCATCTATCTCACATGAGAGTACCTGAAAACATGTTGTGCAAGGGAGAAATATAATTAGTTAGCTATGTATTAAGCTCCTCAAAAGCTAAAATTTACCTCCTAAGAGACAAGAGGACTATTTGATGTATATGTACATTTCTCAAGTTAAGTTTGACTATGGACATATTCAAATTAGAAAAAGTACACGTGGAAAAGAAATGCTATAAATATATTTACTTATCCTGCTCCTACATACATTAGATTAGGGCAATGACTTCCACATGTAACATACATACGTTATACCTAGAAAGCAAATGTTTCTTTCCTTAATTATATTTTTACATCATGGAGTATATTGCTGAAAATATATTCTTTTGCATTACTCTCCCATTGTTATTACAGAAACTCGAGATCCTAGTCTATTATTTTCCCTAATTTTACTGTCACTTGAAATTATCTTTCTCCCAAGTCGCCTAAAATGCATGATACGTACTAGACCAAGCATTGTTGACTAAAATTTCCATGCAATTTTTTAGCAAAACTACCACAATCTTCTAGTCTGGTTATTTTGTTGTATTGGTGAGGCTCACTGAAATCTTTATTTTTTACTCTACAATATTATTTTGTGTATTTGTAAAAATGATACATACATTAATTAAAAATTATCCAAATTTCTTATTATTACTCAAACATGATAAAACACAATTTGAATGTCTCGAATACGTGTCATGTGGGCATAAATAAAATATGGAAAAGGCAGGCGGTGATGTGATAATCTTGTTTAGCATCATGTTTTATTGACACTAACAATGTAAAATTAGCAGTGAAGAATTATTGACAACCATACCTTCCAAAAGGTAATATTGCATACAAGTTTATATGTAATTAATTTGGACGCATCGTAACATTTTTCCTACCTGACTACTTAATTACATGGTACTGCTAATAAATAGAAACACATAGTTTATTCACTTGATTAGTTAAGAGATGGTATTCAGTTAAGTACGGACCTGTTTCTTGAGCAGTGACCAAGCATCTTCAGGCAATAATGTGTCGACGTGGTGGTAGGGCCATCTGGCTATCATCCCTCGAGCAACACCTTCATCTCTAGTGGTGATAAGGACTCGGCTGCATGAAGCAACAGCATTGAGAAAGGGTATTTTCAACACACCATCCCATGCTCCATGGTCCCACACATCATCCATTACCAGCAAGGTCTTGTGGCCAATCAAGGCATTCTTGAGGCTTTGGTGAAGCATGGCCTTTGCATTTCCAGCCGGTTGTGCGTCTCCGCCGGCTTCAATTATGGCTCTTCTTAGCAGCGCAACCTCACCGAAGTTTTGGTTGACACTCAACCATATCTTTTTACTGAACTCACCTTGTATTGCCTTGTCATTAAAGACCTTCTGCGCAAGGGTGGTCTTGCCAATCCCGCCGACACCTATAATGGCAACTAGCATGATGTCATTGTCGACCTCCTTTCCTGTTTGCATGATTTGCGCAACCAGTGCTCTTGTGTCCTCTTCAATCTTCTCCCCAACCACAGCCGACCGGTCAAAATCCCCTACCGTCTCCCGGCTAGGATTACCATGATGAGATGCGCTCACATAGCTGCTATGACAATCCTCAAAGGACCTGAAGTTGATGAAGTTGAAAGCAGCACTCCGCTCCTTGATGGTATCAAGCCTCTGGTTCAACTTCTTGATGCGGGTGCCGATCTCATGAGCATGGATGGGATTCCTCATACAGGAGAGCAAGGGATTGAGACACCCTACATTTCCGGTGGTTGGTCCACGCTCCATGGATTTGAGCTGGCAAAGGTCAAGGATGTCAGTAGCCCCGTACATGGCGCGCTTAAGCTGCCCCACCCACTCTCGGACAGTCTCGTCGATGATGTTCCTCCTATCGGCATCGGCAAGGAAATTCTTGAGGTCCCGAAGCTTTTCGCCCATCTTGTCGATCTCACCGGAGACGCCCAACATCGTCCCTACCTCATCTGCCGCTGCCCGCGCTAGCATATGGCTGAGGTAGGATGCAAATGCATCCAGCACCATCGCCATATTTCTTGCTAGTTTTTGCTGCAACAAGAAAGGTAATTAATAAGTAGGAGGTCGAGAAAATTAAGAAGAACTAGCAAGAAGCTTTGATTAGCTAGCTGTAG